AACCGACATGAGAGAGAGAGAGAGCCTGTAATAAACTAACTTGTCAAGATTGTTCCCAGCCTTTGGAATCGAAACCATTTAAAAACTAATGTATAAGCGAAACCGATTTTAGAAAGTACTTTCACACTTGTCAATGAACCACTCGATGCGTCAACAATACAAATATTCACATAAATATTTATCGAACTCATTGAACATTTAACCGCAAAAATAGCCTTAAGTGGCGTATTCATATAATCGAATGTAAACAAAACAAGTAAAACCCCTAAAATAGAGCATGGACCAACATTAAACACCCTAAACTTTAGCATAGTTATTCGCAAAACGAGTCTTCAAAGCAAGGTATGTGGAAATGGTGAAAAAGTGTTGCGCTTCGAACCATTTTCACAAAACAATTGATGATATCACTAAACGACAAACATTTTCAATAAAGTTAAAAAAGGAAAGAAAAGCCACAATATGCTCTATTTAATCATTTATATGCTTTATTCACTGCTGCTGTTGCTACTTTTTGTTGTTTTACCGATGGCTTTGCAATTAGCATAGAATTTAACGTTGGCTCTGCAAATAGCAGAGAATTTAACGTTGGTTATGCAAATTAGCATAGAAGTTAACGTTGCTTCTGCAAATAGCACAGAATTTACCGACGGCCTTGCCTTTTTAACAGATAATTTAAATACTGCTTTGCCTTTTTAACAGTGAATTTAGGTACTGCATTGTTTAATTTGATAACAAAAAAAAATTATGGCGGTCTACTTTTAGGCTAACTTAACAGCAAACAAAGATCCAACTCTGTTAAAATGAAAAGCCGTCGGCAAAACAAAGGAAAAGGAAAAGTAGTGAAAGTGAAAACTTTAGGATATTTAGTATCTAACAACTTAAATATGGTAATTAAATGTAGAGGAAGATGGTAGAAGAACAAAAGCGACCAGACCAAGTCAAAGAAAAAGAATCGCAAACAATCAAGAAACCATTAATAAAAAGAATAACAATTTCTTTTATATGTATTTTTATAAATAAATAAATAAAGCTATTTATATTTAAATATAAGTAGTTTTTATATAAATTACTATACACTTAATAACTAAAACTTTCCTATTGCTGTATATTCATTTATATAAAAACTAACCGAAAAGACTAATCTAATTTTCTGATCCTAATCCCGATTCAATAAAGTTTTTAAGAGGAGTTTGAAAAACAACAACCTCCGCCGGTATTTCAATAAATCAGCACACGTTAAATGCCAAAGGTTATAATGGTCTGCTAAGCAAGTACCGACAAAAAGCTGACTTTTTTGACTTTAACGCAAAATGCATTGTCTTATATCTATATGTTTTTATAATTCAATTAAGAATTATATAGCATCTAAAAATTCATAAACAAGAAATGTGTAAAAAGAACTTTTGTTTACAAAGCTGTAAATATATATGCCGAACAGGGACGGAATTATTATACAAAACATTAGTGGAATCTCATATTAAGAAGAAAGAATTCTTGGTTATATTAAAATCAAGATTATTAATAGTTAAAAAAAATCTTTCCCCAAAAATCGTTCTTTAATTGTAGAGTATTCCTGCCTTTGTTTTTTGTTAACTTCCGGTGAAACTGCTCTTTGCATTTTAACAATGTGTTTTTGCCGACGGCTTTGCATTTTAACAGAATTGAATCTCTTTTGTTTGTTATTTAACAGAATTGAATCCCTTTGGTCTGTTAAGTTGGGCATTTAACATAGCTGAATGGCGTTACCATTTAAGTTGTTAAGTTGGGCTTTTAACGATTTATTTATTATAAGCGACTCTGGCCAGATATCGATCGACTGACTGTCGTTTCATATAAATCTCTTAGCTGAAACTGTATTTATTGCATACTTTTTTTTTTTTTAATATTTTTTTATAGTGCTGTCCAATGGTATACGTCAAATTTTATATACAAATATAAAAGTATGAAAAAAAAAATAAATAAATACAAAAATCCGCCCACAATAGGAAAGAAATTGTAATTGTCAGCACATAGAAGATGTTGATCTAAAACCTGGAATAAATCATCGCATATTCGTCCCAAACACTTATTTGTCCTACCACATCCCCAAAATTGTAAACAATTAGTTAATTACAGGTTATCGGATGTCAACGAGTGAAGAATACATTGTCCGAGTGTGAAAGTTGTTTGAAGATAATCAGACGCTAACGGCGAATGACCTACGGAATAGAAAGTGTCGGATATTTGGGACATGAATAAATGGTTATGAGTAAAAGTTTTTGTATGTAAATGTATGAAGGGCGGGTAGTTTAACTGGTAATATTCGTGCCTATTTCGAAGACCCCAAACTAATCACTCGGAATACTAAATGTCACACACTTGAGCGCTTTATGTAAGGACATTCGTAATCTGCAAAGCTTCAAGCAACGTTCCTCAAAAGGCCTCAACTTATGAGCTGGCTGCCATTAATCGTTTAACGAATTACACTATGCTGGCATTTGTGTATGTGTATGCATCCGACGTCAGACCACTAACCTAGTTAAATCCAATAATCTACCATGGGCCGTGCTCCTCATTCAATTTTTCTAAAGAGTACATCTTTGTTAAAAACTCCTCGCGAACTACAACGTAATTAATGAGTTAAATACATTTAACGTTTAACAGACTGAATGGCGTTACCATTTACGACAATATTCGCATCATTAATAGGATCTCGCTTAGCAATGAATAGTGATGCTCAAGAGAAATTTTCATAAGTTTTATCTAAGAAAATTTCTTTGTGTAAAAACGTCGGATTATTAAAGGATATCTTGCTATCATTGTTTTTTGGTGTTTATTAAATTACTTTATTTTAACTTAAAAAACTTGTACTTTTTGAACGAATATTTTGATAAATTTTCAAAACAAATTTTAATGCTAACCTAATTAATACTTCAGTAGTTCAAATAAGATATCTCTTAAATTACATTTTTTTCATTGTTACATAAAAGTTGATTATTGAATTTTTTAACATATTTATTTTCCTTGCCGCCTTGAATTTTTTATGCTTCGCATCAATTGGGGTTACGTGGTACAAGGGTACATCAAGTTAATACGGATGTATGCAACGGCTAGAAGGATTTCAGATAGACCCATCCTTTGATTTCGAATCGTTGCAGAATCATTCTCTAAATTGCTTCCAAGTTTGTCCTTCCGGCTTATTTGCTTGTGTTCAACCTACATGGCGTAATTTTTCAGATATTTTGACGAAATTAGGTACGCTGACGTGTTTAGCTTAAGAACAAACGCTATTGAAATTTTTTTGGATTACACTACTTTTTCGACCATATCCACTATAAAGACTTATTTTGAAAAATCGTTATGTGAATAACTATATTAAGCGAAATGATGTGGAATATTTAAGGGCGTGCATTCTAGTGGTTATTATTATTTTTTTTTTTTAAGCAACAACATTCTTTCGGTTATCATGTACTAACTGCTAGTTAAATCATATTATTACAAAAACGGCAAACACCTGTTTGACCTGCTACCACTAAGTAAATTTTTAAGCTATCATAAAATGGCAAAAGAAAAGAAAATTGAAACATGAAAACTAACAACCAACATAATTTACCAACGAACAATTTCAACTGACTGCTGCATCCGATGGTTATTTGCAAAATTTTCAAACAATTACGCTATATATTAATTCTCACGAAATCGAATGTAATTCAAATTCGCTTAGTTTTTTATTGTTACATTGACATGATATACGACTAAAGTCATTAAATATATACGAGCATTTCTCTAAGTGATTCACTAATTTGGTGTAGAATTGTCAACAGAAGTACGAATATGGTCCCATGTAAAAATACTGCAAACCGCATCAAAAATTGATTATGAGAGATTGTGAGCTCACAAAATATCTAATATAAATAAGTGAAATGCTACTAACTAAATTAATGGAAAATAATAAATTGAAAGCAGTGCAAGATTTAAATCTGATTTTAACGATTTTCCGTTCGATTAGTAAGTAAGTATAAAGGCACACACTTGACTAATGAGCCGCAAGTCATTCAAAAAGCTAAGACGATTTGGTAAATTCAAAAGAGTATCCTGAAATTCTAGGGCTCCGTGTTACGAAGAAGTTTTATTAAATTTTTCAACATATCCATTGAGAATCCCATTATCACATACACAAAGAATTAGTATTATATATACACGCATATATACAATGTCTATCCAATAGACTCTTAAACCAAAGCTTTTATTGTTATTTAGTATAAGTTTCATATAGTTAAGTGTAACTTCTATTAGAGAAGATATGTTGAAAAATGTTTCCCTGTTGTGTAAAAAGTGGTCACATTATCAACTGAACTCGCTATATTAGTATGAAAACATTCTTTACTATCTCTAAATATCTATTCCGTAATCGCGAAAAATTTCACACTAATTGTGGAATGTCGAAATACCAACAAATTACTCAACAAATTTTTGCCAAGGAATTTTGAAAATTGCAGCTTTTTTCCATATTAGAACTTTTCAATATAAGTCGTTATATGGGGAGATCAAACTCGAAAATAGTGGTCGCCAAAATTTTTACTAGATAAAAAGAAAAATAGATGATGCGATTTATCTGCTTATGATTGAGTGTTACATCGGCAGTGAACTATCTCGCAAAATGCGTATTTGCCTACTAGCGCGTTATGTAGATATGCAAAGAATCGAATATATTACTTGGAAGAACCAGATTAGGCTATATACTGAAATTGTTTGGAAAAAGCATGATTACATCGTACTGACAAGAAAAGCCAAACCAACTCTTGCATTGTGGACCATCATTTATGCAACTATGTAAGTATCATAAAAACTATAAAAAAGTCTTTAATATAAAAATTATTTTTTTTTTATTATTAAATAATCGCTAATTAATCTTGCAAGTCATTATGTAATAAGATTGTATAATGTGTATGTAAAATGTTTCATTTAGTCCTTTGGGAAAAATTTCCTTTAAGGTTATGGCTCTTGCAGAATTGGATATACTAAAAAGCAACAGGACAACTACTGAAAGGCCAAAGGAAACACCTGGTGGAACTTTCTCCTCCATAATTACGAGCTTCATTGTAATAACTGGTTAACCATAGTACGTAAGTTCCAAAAATTATGAAGAAACTAAGCACACCGAAACCAATTTGATAAAATCGTGTCATCTTTTTAAACCTGCAATTAAATACAAAACTCGAAATATAAATTGACCAGCAACAGCGAAACTTTTACAATTTTTTTTATCGATTATGCGTACCATAGCATTTGGTTATGAACTCCGTTTATGCGTGATTTATGATTACAATTACAGCAACGTACATCATTTAACATATTCAAAAGATCTGATTTTTGTTTTTTTTTATAACGACAAAATATATCACGTATTTCGTCGGTAATTTCTTCTACATTAGTCATGGTATAAAATAAAAATGTATTAAAAAAAATTTTTTTTTTGAATTTAAAAGGACAGAAAAATTTTTTAATTTTTTAAACAAGAGAATTTTATCAAACAACTGACGTCGTTTCTTCAACTCAAACTGATTGAAAAATTTCCTAAGTAAAATTGACATTTTGTAACTTGCATGTCGTTACTTAACAGTCAATCAATCTTGAAGATTGGCTACATTTTTACAACGCTGTTTTGCTCATTTTAATTTTTTCATTTTATTTTATTTTTTACGATTTTGTAACGCATTTTACACATTATTTCGAATTCACTTTCATTAAACAATTTGTTTAATATAAAATTACGATAGGAAGAGTACAAATTGTCGTATTTTGAAAATGCAAAGTAGATAGAACGTAAATCTTTTTGTTTACCAAAATGTTATTGATTTAAGGTTCAACGGACATAAATCAGGAACATAGAACTAGAGAATTTAAAAAAGATTAATGGAATTACCGTTTAATATAAATGTCTTTCACATTGTTGTTTATGATTGCGAAACTTCTTCAAATATATATACTATAAATAATATAAACATATAAAATTATAAATAAAATCGCAAAACTTATTTCACTTTGTTTGACCGTGAAAGTCGTCTACCTTTTTTTTTGCAGTAGAGCGTTATTTCACTTTAAATCATAATTTAATTTGAAATATACGTGATAGAGTATTCATTGATTTATTATGTCTAACTGTAAAATAACAGTAGCTGAAGCTGCTTAGATTATGCAAATTAACCAATTATTGCTATGGTAAGGATTTCTCGTGTGCTCGTGGCAACACTGTTTATAGTAACTATTTTCGTACTTTTTTTTGCACAAGAAAACTGAAATATATGTGTGTTTAGCAATCGTGAAAAAAAAGTTATAAATTTCTTATATTAATTTGAGTTAGAGTTCTGTTAATATTCATAATCAATTGGTAAAACCAATTGAATTTTAATTAATTTCAAAATAGGAAAATAGAAAATATTTTCTTGAGCTGGTGTAACAATTAAGATTGGCTAGTTGAATAAATATAACGCAACTTTTTCGCAGTCGAATTGTCCAACAAAAACGGAGAAAGGGGAAAGTAAAAAAAAAAGCATTAGACGAAACATACGGCGACGACTATAACGTCCAGAATTCGCTCAGAAAGAAGAAAAACTTTTTTTTTATTGTTATATTTTCTGTGTGTGCAAAAAGACGTGTTTGTGAAGCCACATCGCTTACATCGTTATCGTTGGTTTCTTTGTGTGGAAAAGGTGTTTATAAGGAAAAATAATTGTTAAGCAGCACAAAATGAATTCCAAACAGCGTTAACCGACCTACGAGATTGGCTAATGATGAGACAGAATTGTTAAGCATAGAAAACACTGAGAATATAAAGAATCAATCCAAGGAAATGTGAACTTGAAAAGGTCTTTATATAGAAGAGCAGCTTCAGTTGAAATAAAAAAAAACATCGACTGAAAAGAAATTGAGACGAAAAGCAAAGGCACTTAAGATTTGCTATATGAAAACTATTTTCTCAAACAAAGGTAATTAAAAATGACCCCAGTAAATTAACAAAATGTCTGAAATTTTATTAGAAGGAAAGGTAAAGAAAAAGCAAATAGTTAATTTGCGGACGGACGCCGCCATTTTTCATCTGCATATCGACGAGCGTTCAATTTTTTTCATGCCTAATTGCATTTTTTTTTAAAATATAAATTCGCCGCGTGTGAAAGAAACAGCTGTTACTTGTCGTTTTATAGAAATATTCATTGGCGGAAGAGAGACGACAAGTATGTATTCACAAATAACAGACGATTTGTTGATTTTTAGGGTTTTTCTTTGTTGACATCTTCGCTGCTTCGGTTCTTATTTCATGTGCTCCTTGTATGTATACATGTTTGCATGTGCTTAAAACTTTTTATGTGTTTCATGTCTTTAAAAATCAGCTGAGTATTTCTTATTTTAATATTATTAGAAATTTCCTAATATATTCTTTTTTAAATATACTCTTAAACCCTTTTCCTTTGTTGCTGTGGTAGGTTTATTGGTTTCGGATGTAGGTACATTAATCGATAATTATTTAACTTGATAAAGGGGCTTTGGTCTATATTGATTTTTTTTCACGAATTTAAATTTCTTTCCTCTATAATGCAACAAAATGCCCAAGGCACTGGATTTAATATTGTGTGTGCATATGTATAACTCCCAAAGCAATACAACTCTGCCATAAACCTGTTAACAGCTGTTCTTCACGTTTATTTAATTTATTTTCTTAAAATAGTCGTTAAGATAACAGCTGTTACTATGGTTGTCGAGATTTCTTGCATTGATATTTATGATTTTTTAAAAAATACGAAAATTAATAGAGTTTAAATAGCGTTTATATATTAACGATATTCTTTACGTTTTTTTTACCTGCCCAGGCATTGTTAGCCCTCATAACCTACAACTCTTTTTTTTTTTTGTCAGTGCCGCTCATGAAGCTACGATGCTGGGCAACTATGGTGTATGGCAAAAAAAAAAAAAAATTCAAATTTTTGTATTGCATACGTTACAGACTGGGGATGAACTTTTAAACGGTTTGAAATTTGAATATCAAAGACAATTTCTTTGCTTTACTTTATAACAGCTTTCCAACTGACATGTATAAACAATGGTTTGAACACTGATGTCTCACTGATGACATCAACTCTGGAAATCTTGTCATTAGCCTTGTTATCTGTAGTTAAATATCATCATGAAAATGAGTTTGTTTTTGGGTCTATGCCAGCTCTAGTAGTATCCTAAGCTGTGAAGAATTCACCCTTTTTCTCTTGATACAAATCGTTTAAACCGTTATTCTTGTCCTCCCACTTTTGATTTTAGACTGTCAAACAGAATGGTTGTTGGTTCACATCACAGCCGTCGTAGTGAAACTGCTAGTAAATACGCGAATTCCTCAACGGCTGCCACTGCCACTATCCCAAATACTGCATTGAGTGGTGTCACTGCCAAAACTACTACACTTACACACTCAATGTCCTCAGCATCGAACTCAATCAATGGCCTCTACGCGAATGGCAACACCAACGGCTACCATTTACCACTTAGTGGCATCAATGGTTCCACCAATAGTATTGTATCCCGCTTGTCTCAGTCTACGGGGATGACACCGAAAGAGTTGTCCGAAAATGATGATTTGGCCACATCGCTTATACTCGATCCCCATTTGGGTTTTCAAACGCACAAAATGAACATACGCTATCGCCCGCTTAAGGTTGATACTGCACAACTTAAAGCCATCGTGGACGAGTTTATATGTACGCAAAACTATGAGGTGGCCGTTAAGAAAATCTTTAGCGGTCCTTGGTTGCCAAGAAGTTTTAAGAACAAAAATAAAATTTCCATTAAAAGACTGCATGATCATGTAAGTGGAAAATTAGTCGAATGGGTAATAAACTTGAACTTCTTCAAAGTTGTTTTTTTTTTTTCTTTTCAGATAATACGCTATTTGCGAGTGTTTGATAAGGATAGTGGGTTTGTTATTGAAGCCTGCTACCGCTATTCTTTGGAAGGCCAGAAGGGGGCAAAAATCTGTGCCACAAAAAGATGGTCGAAAAATGATAAAATTGAGTGTTTGGTAGGCTGCATAGCTGAATTGTCGGAAGCAGAGGAGGCGGCCCTTTTGCATGCCGGCAAAAACGATTTCTCCGTTATGTATAGCTGTCGTAAAAATTGTGCACAATTGTGGTTAGGTCCAGCCGCATACATCAACCACGATTGTCGGGCCAACTGCAAATTTGTTGCTACTGGTCGCGATACAGCTTGCGTTAAGGTTTTACGCGATATTGAAGTGGGTGAAGAGATTACTTGCTTTTACGGTGAGGACTTCTTTGGTGATGGTAATTGCTACTGTGAGTGCGAAACGTGCGAAAGGCGCGGTACAGGTGCTTTTGCTGGTAAGAGGGGTAGTGGCCAAATCGGTATGGATTCTTCGTTAGCTTTAGGACTGGGTGGTGCCTGTTTAATGGGTGAGGCCAGCGCCAGTAGTGGCTATCGTCTAAGAGAAACTGACAACCGCATCAATCGCATCAAGAGTCGAGCCAATTCAATTAACTCAACAAATATAGATCTCGCTAATGGTTGTTCAGGCGACACTAGCCACGCTGCAGTGAATGGAGGTATGCAGCAGTTGAATCATAGTAGCAATTTCAACAATGCTCAGCATAACAATGGTAAGAAAGTGGAAGCTCACTTGAGTAGTGGTGGCTTCTTAAATGGGGAGGGTATGAAAAAGTCAGCCGCGGTGGTTGTCACTCCGCTGACAATGCAAGAATTGAGACAAAAAGGTATGACGAAATATGATGCCGAAATGATTATGGCGAATGCTATGCAGCAACAACATCAACAACAACATCACCATCATCATTACCATTTGCATTCTCATCAACAACAACCAGCGAGTCAACCCGAAAGTTTATCTATCGCAGGATCGCAACTAAAATTAGAGGAGTCGCAATCACGTACTCACAGAGAATCTCTAAGGAAATCGGCTCGTGTTAACAGTACTAGTAGTACTATCTCTTCGGGGTCTGTGGATGATTTTGTTGCCATAGCAAATGTAAGAGGACAGACGACAAAACCTAACCTAGTCGACGTGCCTAAAGCAGGGGCTTTAGCTACAAACAATGGAGCACGCAGAGCTTTACGACGCTCAGCTCACATTAAAGGGAATAATGCAGAAATCGTAAGAACTGCGTTGACGACAAAGCCTACAACGCGTCACACACGTTCCACGACCGCCGCTTTGGCTATGAAAGGTGAAACAGCAGAAACAATCGCTTCTTCTTTTGCTAGTGAAGAAAATTTCGTTGTTATTCCAGCATTGGAAACACAAGAGAGCGGAAAGGATATTCTAAGCGATGAGCTGTTATACGAACAGAATCCTCCAGGTGAGAATCTTTCGCATAATCACAAATCGGTCAGGTCTCTAACAGGTAGTGAAGCATCCACAACACGTACACTAAGACACCATCATATGACGGCGTCCGAAGAAATTAATAAAAACAGCGTAAACTGTCACCATAGTAAATTTTACAATAGTTGTAGTATTAAGCAACAGCTGCCGACGACAACCACAACCGCAGCGGCAGCATCATCAGTTATATTTAACAATATCAGAACACATCATCATCATAAACGCAAAATAAGTGAAGTTTTAGTAGTTGCAGATGAAACGCATCCAAAACAGAAACAAAATTTTGTAGGCGAATTCGTGGAAAGCGACAGGGAAGTAGGTGACGGTTATAGATGTAACAATAGCATTAGTGTTAGTTATAGTAATAACGACAACGTTGATGATTACGAGAAAGCAGGCGGTAGATATTTAAATACTTTTAGACTGAACAATAGTCCTGGATATAAAAAGAATTTAATGAACTCCTTTGAAGAAGTGGCCAAAGTAAATTCCAAAGCTAGACATTCCGACTATATGGATGTACAGCAGCAGCAGCATTCGAGACTCAAGCGCAACGGAGGGAGAAAGAACAGTCCCAGTGACGACGCTAAAATTCTTCTTCTAGGCGGTAGCTCTACCGGTGGTGGTGGTAATGGTAGCGGTAGCAGTATATCGTTAGGGAAACGCCATTTCGGTTGCAATGATAGTAACAGTAGTAACAGCTGGAATTCTTTGATTGAAAAAACTTACACTGAAAACGATGCTTTCAAAGCGGAACCTCTATTGAAAACGCCCGAAAGACGTCTTAAGCTTACTTTGCGGATGAAACGTTCACCAATTTTGGATGAGGTCATTGAATCAGGTACTAGTTTAAGCGATGAAAGCAGTAGCTTTACTGGTACTTCTATCTGTAGTAGGGGTTCATCGCATTCGGAAACAGTTGAATATGAAATTTTACGTATGGAAGGTATTACTGAAAACGGTAATGAATGCGAAGATCAAGAAGGAATGCCACTGAAACGCAAAAAGCGCCATAAGTCAAAGGAAAGAAACCATCGCCATCATCGTCATCGCAGGCATCATAGACATAATTTAAGTAACGATTTACATGAAACTATACATGAAGACGAAAAAGAAGATAAGGAGGAGATCCAACATGAAGCCAAAGAAACGAAATCATCTAAATCGCCACAATCTGCATCGATAAATTTACCTGTTACCTCTTTAACTCCACAAAAAAAACGTTTACGTTTAATATTTGGTAATGAAACGCATACCATAGACATTCCACCACAAACTGCCGCCACTACTAATGACGAAACGAATGCCGATGATAGTCCGCTAAATAATTCGACATCATCTACCTCACTGCAAACGCCCTCGAATACCACAAAGAACAGTACCACGCAACATCCTGCAAAAGTAATAAACACTAGCTCAGACACTTCGTCTACCTCATTGGTGAATCTATCATTGACTTCCTCTACCGAAGCTTCCGCTTCAAAATGTTCACCTTTGTCTACGTCTACAGCATCGAATCCTTCATTTACATCAGACTATAGTGGTATCGAAAGTAGCGGTGTTAATGCGGGTCTTTTTTCGCTGGACGAACCATTAAAAGAACCACTTAATTTAACAACTTCTTCCGGTAGTTCGATTCTGCATAAAACTCCTTCAAGTATATTCAAAAATCACACAGCTCGATCATCTCATTTGCCTTTAACATCCTTTGGCTCTAATCATACACAAAATAATGCGATTTGCACAGCCAATATTACTGGTGCTGCTGCTGCTACTGCTACTGCTGTTGTTACCACTACTCAAAGCGCCGTAACAGCAGCAGCGACAGCTTCAATATTTCTTTCACAAGCCATACCCAAGCATACTTTTGGGTCATGTGCTCTCATTGCACCAACATTTGCTCGCAATCTGTTGGTTTCGTCCAATCCCTCGACACCGGGTACTTCTCCTCTCCGTAGCTCTATACCCCAAAATTCTAGTTATAATGGCAGTAATAACGGTATAACAGTTAACAGTCTAAGTAGCTGCAATTTACCGTTAAGTCTCACAACCACTTTAACATCAACAATATCAACAGCAACAACAACAATAACATCATCCACAACATCAGCGACAACATCGGCAGCAGCAGTAATAACTTTAAAAAAATCGAACGATCTTTTAACACATTGACCGGCATTACAATTACTACCGTTATATGTATAAAGTTTTCCGTGTGCAACAGTTTCTGGTACATAAAGAGATTGAAAAACGAAGTCATAAAAAACGATATATCCGCCCTTTTGAACTTACAAAAAGAAAAAAAGAAAAAACGAAAAAAAAAAGAAAAAGAAAAGAAAGAAAAAGGAAAAGAAATATTTCATCTTTCTTTCAAAATAGTATATTAAATTATTAACTGCCTGCTGGATATTATATATACATACGTATATATATATATATATATATATAAACTGCATAGTATATACATATATATGTATATATACATAATATTAACATTAGCATAACAACAACTGCTGTGCTAATACGAAAAACAGTATATTTTGTTCATTGTACGTACATGCAGTTATATGTACATAAGTTAGGTTTTAAGATTATAGGAAAAATGTTGCCTTTTTTCCCCCCTGCTCTTCCTTTTAATTTTCTGTTTGTTAGAGTGGAAATTATATTAGCCATAAACTGTGACCAGATGACTTAACATGATTTAAGAAAAAAACCTAGATACTTTCTTTCGCTAAGACATCTGAAAATTATATATATATATATATATATATATACGCACATGCATGCACCTAACTACATAAAACGTATATGTACACGGAGCTATTTTAAATTTAATTTATTAAACACATTGTTATGTTTGTCAGCTGTTTCAATTGAGCGTTTTAACCGACTTAAGCGGTTTGCTTTAAGCATAGTTGAAAATGTTTTATATATATTTTTGAAATTTCGTTGAATTTTTGTCGGTTGTTTATAAGCGCCCTCTATCCACTTTGTTACGTTAGCGATTCTTCTTATTTATTTTATTTTTTTTTTTTTTTTTTTTTTTTTTTTTAAATTTTACAATCGAACTAATTTTGTATCTTAATAGGTTACCGAACCATCGTTGTGGATTTATTAATATTGAAGATATATGAGAGAAATTATTCGTTCACATCTGATCCCTTGTATGCCACAACTGTTACCAAAGAAAGAAATTTATCAAGACGGCACTTGAATATCCAAACAACCAGAAATTTGACAAAGTTGACGGCTTTAATATGGAGAATACGGATCATACAAATTATCCTAGTATATTAATTTTTAATTTTTATTGGATTTGATTTAACCGCGTTGGGAGCCCGTCGCAACCCTCCAAAAAAAAAAAAAAGAATCGCCCTATACCTGATACAGAATAATAAAATCAAATAATCTAATCTCCATTTCGACCGTGTTCAGTTATCATGTTTTATCAGCAAGAGAATTTTTTTAGAAAAAAAATCTAAATAAAAAAAAACTCAATTTTTTTTGTATTCTGGGTACTTTGCAAATTAAAAAATATTAATTTAAAAATTTATTTAAAACAAAAAAATTTTTTTATATACTTGCACACCTACGTGAGTTTTTAGTTACGCCCATTTGGCGTTCAAAAATGTTTTTTTTTTTTTTTTGTTTCTTAATCAATTTTCATTCGCGTTTATGTGATCAACATCGAGTTTTTGACTTAAGAAAGTACACAAAGAAAAAACAATGTTATGTACGTTGAGTCAAATTTTTTAATGTCTGTTTGTACGATCTTTAATTGCAAAGTGAATCGACATGATTTCTCTAGCGTATCGTATATGCCATATATATACATCGAATTGAATCAAATCGAATGAAATTGTTAGACAATATTCTAGGTTAAACTTACCAGGTTTTTTTTTTTTTTTGTTTCAAATTCATTCTGAAGCATAATTTAAGCTTATGGAAAGCAGGTAAACAGTTAAATAGTTAAGCAAACTTTTCCTATTCACGCTGGACAAAAGTGTATACCCTTTGTGGGGTAGGTAGGTGTTCGTTACGTATTTCAAAATGTTGAACGAACCTAACATAACATAACGATCACTAAATATGATGGATACAAAAATTACAATTCAAGATATAATTTTGACATTTTCAATTGCATATAAATAAATGTGAATTCCAAAAAAGAAATTTTGAACTTAATTCTAAACACTATACTTTATCTATGCTAATTATTTATTGTATGCATAACAAATCTACATGTTCCCGCATCGATCATGATGCATTTAATATAACTTTCAATATTTACGTTTTCTGCTTCATTCGCTTATTTTTTTTTTTTTTTTTTTTTTGTAATTCAAAACAAATAAGAGTATTTGGAACAAACAAAAAAGAAAAAAAAAAAAAATTAAAATAAATGAAATAAGTAAGAATACTGTAGTGGGGCACGGCAAACCACTAAATACTCTGCACCACGTTACAGTTATTTATATAATGACTTTGAAATAGGCCGTTATATAGCAAGTGATCGAAAAAGTGGTCAGTGGCCGAATTATTTTCAATAATGCTTTTCTTTGAGCCAAAACAGACCCCAGGGTATCAAATTTCATCAAAATATCTCAAAAATTGTGACCCATTCGTTTATATACAAAAATGTAAGACGAACAGACAAGCTTAGATCGATTCACGAAACGAATCTGAATCGATTGATGTAATAAAAACGCGGCTGTATCTCAAGTTCTTCTGGAAAACAAACTTAGAACAGTAACATCGTCGCACAAGTGGTGTAGGTAATAAAAAAAATTTGAATTGATAATATATCCCCTTATAAAATTTCATAGAACATATATCTGGATGTATTGCAAAATGAATAATGAGATTAGTATATTTGTTATTGTCATTGGTATTGGCTTTTTAGTTTCAATTTCTCAGATGCGATTCCCGTTCAGATAGTTATATTAATTAATAAATAAATATTAATTATTTTTATACCTATCACCGAAGGATAAGGGATGTATTCATTTTATGAAAATGTGTGCAAAGCGCAGAAGAAAGCATCAGAGACCCCATAAGGTATATATATTTTTGATAAAACTCAAATTCTGCATCGATTTAAGCGTGTTCACCTGTCTACCTCCCCGTCTGTGTAATGTCTATTGTAAACGTTCTCCTGGCTACAAAAGCTATCGATTTCAAAAATGCACAAACGCAATGGAATTTCTTGCACGCAGGTTGGATATTGAAAATGGACCAATTCGATCGAAGCACACGTCTACAGTATCACATAAACTGAGAATATCTGTCTTTTCAAAAGTAATTAAAAATTGGTTCTTTCTACTCATTACTCGCAAAGTACAAAACATAAGTGTACAAGATTTTGAACATATACAATAGGGCCGATGGTCTAATGCTAGCGCAAAATTGGAAAAAATTCACCACCCCCACCCAATATTATAGCGTATCAAAATTTAATTTTTGTTTCAATAACTTTACAAGGTGCCGAAACAAGCTCTACAAACCCCATAAGATATACAAATTCTTGGCCAGTTTCAAATTTGAAATGCACCTAATATGTTCGTCCGTTCATCTGCCTATTTGTCTGTGTGCGCATATGAATTGAAAGAGAATTTGCCCAAAAAAATTTACAATTGACTTAAACTTTTCAAAGGACACGCTTACAACGCCCACACACGCGTAAGCGACAAAAACTTTTTTTTGAAAATAGAAAAAATCGGCCGCGCTCACTCCATGTGACATGCATGAAAGTTAACTTGTTTTTTTTTGTCATCATTTTATCCTCAGACTATGTTGTTTCAAATAACGAATAACATTTTTGCGAAACACAATAAAGTAAAATCTTCGTGTAAAAAAAATTATGTTTCTAAGGTTATCATTACTTCTTAAGTAATGTTGATCACGTTTTTCAAAAGCACTAAAAAAGGTTATGAATGAAGAGATGTTCTCTCCTAAATTACTTTTGAGCAGTTGCAAATCAAAGAAATTTTTTATTCTCACCTTTGTAAAAAAATTCTTTTTTGTATTCCAATGCTGTATAGGTCGGGAAAAGAGTTTTCTGGCGGAAGCCAGTCATTAACGAAATATTGAGAAAGAATGCCTCTATATGTGCTCCATTGCTGTTATTTCTAAAGTGTCGTCCTTAGGATTAAACCCATTAATAATTCAGTAGCGATTCAGTTATTTGTCTCTATCCCTCTCTGTTGCATAATCGGAATCTATGATTCTTGACCAGTTAACATTGTCGATCTCTTTAGCGATATACTCGTATACTCATCGAGGGCAGAGTATGCGTAACATGAGATTAGTTTGTTATGTTCATAAAAATAAAATTTTAGGAGAAAATCGGACAAGAACTGATGGATGGATTATGAGTTGTATTTTTGTCATATGCAGTTAAAGGGGTTCGGTTTACGGTTCTGATTATCGAGCAAACTCGGCATCGACCTTGTATTTTGGGTTGGCTGTACTCGATACCATTGTTCCGTTATACGTACACCGATGACATCACAATATGATAATATCATAAATATATATTCCATTGTAACTGCAACGAACGAGAAGCCCAACTCGATACGAAGGCAATCGAGTACCATCAACCCATAATGAGCTCCTAACGTTTCTCTCTTTCGTTTCGTATGATAACTCTATAATGAGAACCGCCAACCGCTCCTTGATTAAGTTTGGGCTTAAAGGAAGATAATTTCAAATTTTAAGGCGGATTGCATATTAAAAAATAATTTGTTTTTTGTTTTATGCGTGATGGGCGGCTCCTATTAAAGCACTCGCGTACGATTTCGATAATAGTTTCTATTTAATGGTAAATCGCTTTTACTGAATTGTTCAATTTCAATGGCTTGGAGTGTTTGGATATTAGATTGCTAATATGATTTCAAATTATTTAAGGTCGTTAAGTTTAAATCAATTACTGATTGATTTATATGTGATTACACATATACCTTTAAATGTAATTGTTGATCGATTCGATTAATAATTTTCAAAAAAAAAAAGGAAAATCTTCTATAAATCAGGAAAATTTAACAAATTGAAAAGTAATACCCAGACAGATTTTATAGTTTATAAGATTTGCCCGTTTTCATCAAGATAATTGAAAATGCAAGAAAGTGGGCGTGTCAGTGCCAGATTTGGTTGATCGATCGAAACATATTTATTTCGCTTCGCTAATCTTAAGCTCGATTCCAGATGAAACTGAAAACAGCTTCAGGTTTCTATATATTAATCTTTGTCTCGGGCGAGCAGGATTAAATCGATTTAGAATTTTACGCTAATCAAGGATATAATATAATACTCTACGATCCGTTAAGGCGAACTTCTTCATTTTACAAAGTTTAGGTTAAGTGCTGGGTATATAAAAGTAAGTGTTTTTAGGGAATCTGTTGTGTGTGAATATAATAAAGACAACTTTCTTTTTCCCAAACCTATTCTTTGTCCCATTTTTTTTTTTTTTTTTTGGCTTGGATTGTATACATATATTAACATAGGCGGATATAATTACAATTTGTCAAAATAATTCAGTTTTTTTAAGAATCTTTAAAACGTATTCCCAACAAAATTAAAGATTTTCGTTTGATTGATCATCGGAGAAAAGTGTAAATTATTAGATAAAACAGGTTTAGAGGGACATATCGTTAATTTTCATATTAAATATGCTTAGAGAAATTGTTCTTTTGAGTTATTAATAATATTAATAATAAATATATATTAATATATATATATATATCTATATGTATATGTATATATATATTATAAAATATAAAAATAAATATATGTTATAAAATATATACATATATATTATAAAAAATATATATATATTATTTATATACATTATCTATATTTCAGTACTACTGCATTTTGGTAAAACAAGAATTTAGAATAATTTCATAATTGTAAATCTAATAATAATTTTTAATTTGTATTTTTACTTTTCCCTTTTTATTTTTATTTTTTTTTTGTTTTCGGCAATTTTGCAGATGGAAATTTTAAACTTAAACACTGTAGACAAAGTTTATACAGCAATAACAATATAAATAATAATAATAACGATAATGATGATGATGAATATTGTAATAATAGTTTAACAGAGATATATAGAAACTACAACTACAACCACAAAAACAGCAACAGTAATAATGGTAATTATCATGTAAACGTTAAGAAATGAACAGCCGTATTGTGAGCCGCAAGCCGTCATAGGGTATCTTTTTTTTAATGGTTATGGTTTTCGTGACAAATTTGATAGTTGAGATCACAAAAATTTTGGATAAAAAAAAAAAAAAAAAAGAGACGACCGGTTACAATGTCAGAATCTGGCTGAGAAAAACGAAATCAATCGAACTCATATGATGTATAGTTGTAAGTAAGTAAGACAAAAAATAAGCAAAAAAAAAAAATTAGAAAAGAAATTATAAAAATTGTTTAATAATCATTTATATATGTAAAAAGTAAAAATAATAATAACTAATAAGTATAAAAATGCCAGCACTTTAAGAAATTATTATAATTAATAATTATAATTGAATAAAATAAAAGTAAAAAACAAAAAAAATCTTCCATACATGACCTTTTTCCTCTGCAATTATTTAATTTAAGTATAAAAAGATTCAATTATGTTTTATACGATGAACTTTGTTATTGCTTTTTATTTAAATTAATTAATTTTTTTGTTTAAGCGTCTTTCTATCTCTGTTGCAAAAAAAAATTATTATTTTATTTATACAACTTTTGTAGAATTATTTAGTAGCTCTTTTTGTTTATATTATTGCGTGTAGAGAATGTAAAAGAAATATATATTAATATAATTTTTTTTTTCATATTTATTTTATTTTTAATCGAAAATAATTTTATATAACATGCTGTAAGCGGGCGGCCAGTTTGTAAAGACAAATTGTATTTGTTTTTCGGTCATTGCCACTCCCCTGTTTCGAGCAAAAATTTATGCAATTGCATTTGAACAGTTGTGTGCACATTTTGACAGTGTTGTGCAAAACGTGAATGCATTACATTTGTAAGCACGAAAGTCTACATTTTCATTTGCAAAAGTCTATTTAACTTAGGCACTTGTATCTCGTTTCTATCAAACGAAACCTATGACGTATTATCACTTATCCAACTCTTTTTTTTTTTTTTACAGTGCATTCCATTTTTGGCTTTTTGGAATTTTGATAATAAATTTTATTAATTTTCGAATGTTTTTTTATAGTAAAATTAATCCATGACTAAATGTTGAATTTTTCAATCAATTAGAATTTCGATGGTACCTGCTCCAAATATCTCAACGTGCTAGGAATTTGTATCTTGGCCAGCGTCTTTTACACGTAAAAATGATAAAGAAATGGGAAATATCAGCGTACGTAACGGTTGAATTCGGTGGTTTCCACCTTCGTCTACGTAGAATAACAGTTTCCCATTTGGCATTATCAAGTTATTCAGCGTACACTGATGCTAATCATGGAGTGCTCAAAATTGCATTCTCGTCCTTCATAACTTTCGTTGTTTAATTTAAAGAAACCTACTGCCGAAGCCCATCAGACAAGCTCATGGTAATGCTGCTCCATCCCCATATCCCAATTGTCGAACAAAAATGCTCAAAAATAATGAATTGCAAAATTTATTGGACGAAAACACAGCCCAGTATCTCAAAAAACTTCCGAATACAAATTAGCAGTTGATGAATCAATTTTTTCTAGTAGTTTACATGCGATGGGGAAGATCCAAAAGGAGGAACAATGACTACATAGCAAATTCACTGAAAATACCATTTTGACCACTTGTTGCAAGAGTTGTCCAGGAATACATGGTTGCAGCTTGAATAGGAAGTTCATCCATACCCAGCGTACTTACCAGGTGTCTACCCTTGTGAATACTGCTTGTTCAGACCGATGCACCATGGCTTGGATGGCACGCGGGTCCGCAAAATTGTTAGTTCTTTCCACAGGGCATCGCCATATTACCAGAAATATGGTAAAATGTTGTAGACAATCATGGAAAAGTCTTGGTTAATATATACTGCACCAATTTTTCTCAATAAATGCCTTTTTCAAATGAAAAAATGGGTAAAATACACGCGAGCACCTTATAAACTGACTTACCCATCCAAAATACAAAAAAGAATTAAAGATTTTTCCCAATTTTCAAACTCGTTTGCACACCTGTAGTCTGTTCTCTTCATTTTTGCAAACGGGAGAATGTTTACTAGAAATGCTACATAGTTGAGCACACGGACATTCGTAGGTGCATACCGGGTTTGAAACCGGCCAAGAGTTTATAGGGTTGTTGAAGCTGGCCTATACGCATTATAAAGTCGTTGGAAAAAAAAAAATAAAATTTTCACATGCTATAATATTGCGAGAGTATTCTTTCCCATTTTCGTACAGGTTCTAACTATATCATCGTCCTTAGAATACACGTGCAAATTTCTGTACATTTATCATTTATATTCATGAGTAAAAAACCAATTTTTAATTCCTTTTGAAAAGACAGATATTCTCAGTTTACGTGGTAGACGTATCCTTCGACCGATTTGGACCATTTTCGCTATCAATCTACGTGGAAGAACTCTGGGTGTTTCTGCCAAATTTAAAGCCATTAGCTCTATTTTTACGCCCAAAAAAAATTTACAACAGACATCATGAAGATCGATATGCTTAATCCGATCTAGAATTTGATGCTGTTCAAGAATATATATAGTTAGTTAGTAGGGGTCTTTCAAGTTTCCTTCCATAAAGTGAATACAAATCCAAAAAAAAAAAAGTCTCCTTCCATAAAGTGAATACAAATCCAAAAAAAAAAAAATAGTTTCAAATTTTCAAAATATAAGAACTTTGAGAGGGATATCGTTGCATAGTCCAGCGCTGTAAAAAAGAAATGTGAAAAAAACTTGGGCTTGAGGCACTAATCATTATTTTATAATGGAAAGTATACAGCTGTATAGTGTCTGTAATGAAAATTCCACAGTTCGCATAGTGTAGTATGAAAATCTAGTTCTAGTTTCTCTACCATCGGAATATAATTTCCTGACTTTTGTATATAGACATACAGATTTTATGGTGTACTTTAATAAAAAATTTCTGATAACCACGACTTTACATCTTCGCATTCATCATATCGAGCAAATATATGTATAAAATGCAAAATATTTTTCTAGCAGAGCACATGTTAGTAGATAGGTCAAAATATATTTTATCGGTTTCGCGAAAGCTTGTATGAGAGTTTACATTAATTCCATAATTAATCTTAAACGTTGTAAGTTATAGTTCCTGCTAATAAATATTTTAGAATTATGAACTAAAGTCAAGTTCACTATTTATCACCTATAATTAAAAGATAAAATTATAGAATATAGAAGCTGGTAGAGGAAACTCCTACACACTATGTCAAATTTTAATTATTTTTACTGAAGTTGTTGCTATCAACTATCTATTAAACGCAAACACGTGCTATATACTATAAGACAAGATATTCAGGAATGGGGAGGCATTTTTCAATCGGTTAAAAAAAAAGGAAAATCTTATATATGATTCAAAACTTCTATTTTCAAACATAAATCCAAATCTAATTTTTTTTGTATGGGTTTGTCTACTTTCCTTTAATAAACCTGTTTCGTTAAAACTTTTCTTTATACATGACTTGGGTTAAAAAGTTTTGCTTTTCTGAGTGAATGTAACTCCATTTAAATAGGATCATTTTTTACATTTGATGTACTTAGTATTTGAATTTAATTATGAAAGATGCGTAATTTTTCTTAGAAAAAAAAAAACAAAATATAAAAAGAATGAAAAAAAAGAAGAAACATTCTTACAAGTACTATAATTAAACAGCTTCCGTTTATCTACTAATGCCCATATTTTTGGAAATCCCATTCTCTATTATCCAAGGGGCATACTTGACGTGTTTTCAACCAGCGGGAAATGCAATGGAAATGAAAAGCATGATTACAAACGCCCCAAGCGACAGTGCACTCTTCACTAGTAGCTGAAGCTTGATTAGCTTGACATTCTATGCATAAATCCATGATGTGGTTACGGCAAATAGCACAGTTGTCGACAACAATATCTACGAAGATACGTATATATGTATATATATAAACCATTTTTAAGGTTATGTTTTGTTTTTTTTTCAGAGAAATCAATGCAGCATTCACTTACCCCAAGCCCATAAAGCGACGGCATTCCACTAAAATTGTTTATAATAAATATGCAAAGTCATTGCTAATTATACAAGAAACTTAACCGTCAAAAAAATTGCCAAAATAAATGTAAATACCTTTTTCACTTCGAAACGTTTCTTCTCGCCTTTGCTGCTGGATGAGGGCATCTCAAATTCCTCTTCATCTACTTCCATTTTTTAAATAAATGAATCTTTCAATATACAAAACTGAACGACTTGTATTTGTTTAGATTTTAGCTCAGTTTCCCAATTCCTTATTCTTTACCACAAAGAGTAAAGCTAGTGTTAACCGATTAATGATATTATGCTATGAGTGATATCGATAAGTGTTTAGTGATAACAAACACATTGCGGGTAAAGATGTTTCTGTTTAGCAAATGGTCGACTTTTTTCTTTGATAATTAGAAAAAAAAAACTAAACTAATGTAAGCAGCATAACTATCCGAGGAAGATGGCAATAGATGTATCCGAAGAATAACCGAAAAAATGCATGGGGATGATTACGTGCACGATGAACGATATTATTTTGGCATATGATAGGTTTAAATTTAATGTTCTCGCTAATTAGTTTGTTATCACAAACAAAAAAATAAATAAATTATATATTTACCTTTTGTTTTTCATTCATTTTTATACTTTAATTAAGGTTTCACTAAGGGCTTCCACACAATAATGCGTTATTCCTACGAAACTTTGCGAGGCTTTGGGGAAATGTTCAAATAATATGATAATGTATATATACACACACAAATAAAACAAAAAGAAGACAAAGGTAGAAGAAAAAACAAAAATGGTTTATTTTAAATTTAAAAGTTATTTAATCAAATTATTTACATTTATTTTGTGTTAATTTTAATCTTTTTATGTTGTAGGATTTGTTATTTAATTTAGAGTTTATATTAATTCGAAAAAAATGAAAAAGGTAATAAAGACGATATTTTAGTACAAATTTTCTTATTTGTGAGGAGACAAAGTCGTTCCTTCTTTTGACCTCACACGTCCTTCCTATCGGAAGGAAGAGTTTTAGGTTTAAGTTAGTATTAAGCTTCAATTGTATTAATAATAGAAAGTTGGATGAGAGACGACGGGATTGGGGAAATCAAATCGGAAAACAGCTATCTTCTGATTGGGATATGGTTAGATTATCAAAAGCAATGTTGATCGAAGTCCGAAACAGGTGACTTCCGTTGTTGTCCGAGTCGAGGCACTGACTATTCTTCTGAAGTGGACAGCCAACCGACCAACACGCCGTCGAGCGAAAAAGTAGTTTTCTTTTTTTGTGTTTTCTTCTCTAGTGCATAAGACAGTAAAGAACTAAAGAATAAAATTTCATAACGAGTGAAGCGATAAATATATATCTTGTGAGAAGTATACCTCTAGTTTGTTAGCCCCGGCACTAGAGTGGCGGCAGAAACCTGCCTCACAAGTTTATTGTATAAAAGACGAATTCCAAATTAGGGAGCAATTAATAAAAGTAAGAAAATGTCTTGTATGGCGTCATAAAGTTGAGACAAATTATAAAGATGAAGAGTAGCCAAACAATATCTAAATTTCAAAATTTGGCATATTTGTTAGACTCTTTGATTAGGAAATATCCCCTTAAAAAAGCTGAATTCCTCAGAATACCTCCATCATTCTCAAGGCAGGGTTGCAACAACACGTTGCAACCTGTGAGCTTTCCTTCGCATTGCTGAAAAAGCGTAATATGCGTCGCAAATTCCGACTAATATATAACAAAAAAATACACTTTAAAAAATAATTATCGTAAAAGGCATTCATTTATTTGTTAACACAAACACCTACCTTTATAATTATAAAAGAAGTGGAGACATATAGCCGACTATTACACATTGTCTAACACAATTCTTATTTTTGCCATAGAACACAAAAATATGAACTCACTCTTATGGAATTATATCAAAAATTAGATCTCTTTGCAAATAAAGGCTTACCTTCCATAAGAATGTCCAGGAGGATTAAAAAGTTGTGGTAGGTATTCAAAATTATGCACAGTTAGTTTTTATATTATGGATCGATTTTCATCGTAAAATATTAAAACTTAGATTTTCTGCCCTAAAAAACCAAAGTTTTCGTGTAAATCCTTATAAAGGGTTTTATCCAAGAATAGGCGTGGTTGGACCAAATTTGAAAAAGTGAATTTTATTTATTTCAAATTACTATTACGGGTTAAGTTGCATCATAAAATATTAAAATTTAGACTTTCCTGCCTTATAAAGGATCAATTTTCGTAAGAATCTATATATAGAATAGGGTCCAAAAAGTAGGACGAGATGGTCAAAATTTGGTACAGTTAATTTTTTTATTTTAAATTACTGCTGCGATGTGATTTTCATTATGAAGTATTAAATATTATAACCTTTTTATCATATGAATTTCAGTTTCCGCTATATGAGAGGGGGTTAAAAACATTGCCGCGCCTTGTCGAACGTTCTCATATCAATTCAGAATGTCGAAATACTATTAGGTAGCCACTTTTGTCGAGAAATTTTGAAAAATCCAATTTTTCGCATATAGTGACTTTCCAAGAAAGGGCTTGATAACGGTGTGGCCGAAAAAGCGGACCGATCCAAATCATTTTCCATACCGTTCGTCTTTAGGTCAAAATATATCAGTGTACTGAATTTCATCAAAATATCTCAAAAATTGCCGCCTGCAGTTCGAACACGCGAATACATGAGCAGACATCAGACATCAGACGAACAGAGGGACGGACAGGCTTAGATCGATTCAGAAAATGATCGGTATAATGAAAAATCTAAAGCTCTTTCGCGTATTATATACGTCAGCACAAACTTAATATGCCCTATAACACACGTGGTATGGGATACAAAACGAGATACGGATCTTCGGAAACAAACAACAGTTATGTGTTTGCCTATCCATTGCCTTTAAATCCATTCGTCGCATAGAATACATAGAAGAGTGCAAGAAAAAGTCTACATTTACTTGAAATCGATTTTCCCGAAATTCGTATAAGAAATCAAAATTTTTTGCTTTTGTCTCCAGTTCAGCTGTACAGTTTTGTACGGTTTCTTGAAATTTGTAAAGGTTGTGCAGGTACATTCATTCAAACAGTGCGGCAAAAGCTCCGTGATGCGAGAGCATCATGACTTTGAAAAAGTTGTCTAACCTAAAATCGTTTCAAGTCTCTCAAATCTTTATTTCACGGCCCAATCAAAGTGCTTTTACATTAAATTTCTTATCGTTGTTTTTTATATACTTATATATATTTAATATTTTTATATTGTGTGTTATATTTTGAACCATTGACTTTTGTCTGCCTTTGCATAAATGCGTTTATTTTTTGTTATGAAATAATGTGGTAGCGCGGTGTGTTTACCGCTTAGGTCTTATTAAAATGAGAAAGAGAAGAACGTATTATTGTGTTTAAGATCCAAGTTTATTAGGACAGTTTCGTCCACTATGCTACGTGCGGAGAGTTTTAGAGTTAAGTTGAGTGAAACTATGATGAATAGGTGAGGAAATAAGATATAAAAGAAAGAATGATAAATATATATAAAAATGCAATAAAGAAAAAAAAAAAAAAAAAAAAAACACTCGGAACACTCTTGTTATGTCATTTTTTGTCCTTGTTTTTCCTTTTTTGATAAGTTTTTGAGTTTGAACTGACGTGTTGGCGGAAAAGATTCTTCAAATTTCAATTTAAGATTATAAACACCTTAAAGGGATAGTACACTGAAGACTGAACAGTAATTGCGTTCTTCGGGTAAATAAGTTCTAACAAGGTGTGCTTGTCAGTGTTGATGAGGAAAAATTATGGAATCGATGTAAATGTAGATAAAAGCATCTGGCTTGAGAAGAAGAAAAGGTAGAGAAATCATCAACACACTCTTGTTTGATTAATGAAATAACGAATGAAGGCAAATGTGTTTGAAAGAAGAATGCTATTGAGGTGGTCTTCATTGAATCGGTTAAATAAAGCAAAAGAATTGCTTGAAAGTAATGCTTCGACAAATATAGTTTAAATTGAAAATATTTTGCCTGTGAGGATCGAAATCATCGCTCCGTTTGAATCCACATTTGGTTAAGTTATTTTTATGTATTTTCAAGATTTAGTGTGCGATTAGCTCGAATTACCAGCCGATTTACGAAATTAATGAACGGCTAGGGGTGATCGTCGTTCAAGGCAATCAGGCAGAGTCATTTAGAGACAAAGAATTCAGACAGAGAGTTTTTTTATATTTTTTTTATTTATTTATTTATTCTTTTTTTTTTTTTTTTTTTGTTGTTTGAGCTGTTAAAAGATCACTCGGTTATCAAGATAATAAATGAAACGTTTTTCCGGTATTCGATAGTTTATGAAAATCAATACTAATATACTGTTAGAGAAGACAAAGAATTGGATTAACATCTGCATGCATCTATGGAATGCAGTGATTCGAGGACAGTTTAATAAGTTTGTGTGCGTGAGAGTAGGTCGATATTGTCAAATTAGTATAACGTTGGAAATAAAAATGATAACTGTACGGTTACCCGGAATGGTAACCACCGGAAAGTTGCAAGTCTCAATCGAGTTTTAAGAAAAACCTATTTTCTTTGTTTGTTGCTTATTTTTCATTCGTTACAAAATAATAAAGAAAAGGCGTAAATTATTACAAAACAAATATGAATAAGTATTTTTCATAAGGAAGGAATATTGTAATTTTTAGAGTATTTCGGCTTTCTAAATTGGTGTAAAAACTTTGGATAGGATGAAGACATTTTTTTGAACTCCCTGTCGTATAAGTGTTTCTACGGAATCTTTTTTATTTTGAATCGAATTTATTAGCATTCTTTACTGATTTCCTGCACGTAGTTGCACAACTGCCAGCTCTGTATGCAAAGACTCTTGGAATTCTAACCGAATAGAAAGAATGTATTCTCAAAAAAATATAATAAATAATACAGATGAGTGAGGCGTTCAAGTTCAACGCGTAGATAAACATCATTAAACATTGTATTTGCAAATTTGTCAATAGCTCTTGCGTTAGAAATTCATAATAAAATTGGATATCGATTAGTATGTCTAAAGTTTCCATTGTAAGGTTGCTATTTACTTGTTAAAGCCGAAACATAAAAGTAAAAAGTTTAATGAAACATATAAAATGTAACACTGTGGTTTGGTTTACGGATAGACTGAATAGCATGAATTCCATTTATGTCTACATGTAACAACGAAATCAGCTACGGGTTATCTCTGTAATTGTTGCGTTCATGCTTCCATATTAATTTGCTTGCGTCATTTTCTGTTGCTATTGTATCTTTTTTAGCGAAAGAAATT